TGCTGGAGAGGATGGGTGAGAGAAACGGGGTGGTTTTGCTTGAATAAGGGTAGAAGTGGGAGGTCCTGAAAATGCTGGACTGGGGGATTTTTAAACAAGGATGGCTATTTCAAGCGTGTTCAGCACCTTTCAACTTTTGTTGGTATCATTTTAATGTGTAGCACATTCAGGTTTTCATACAGTGTGTAACTTGTTGCCAATTGAAGATTCCTCAGCACTTGTAATTTCATCTGTGCTCACTCCTCACCCTCTTCAAGGATTTTCAGTTTAACAAGTCTTGTAAATTAATCCTCTCTCTTTTTAGTAAATAGTTATTTTTAAAGCATCTCACGTGAAGTGCTGCAGGTCCACTGACAGTGGTGTTGTCCTTTGTGAATTCTGCTTCATAGTTTGAATTATTCACTTGTCCCGTGACACCAGGAGTAGGTGAGCTTAAATGGGCTTAAAGCAGTAAAACTGCAAATGACATGTCTTGTAGGAATAACCTGCTTGCCTGCAGCATTAAAGCTTCAGCCCTTTGATGGAAAAGCATCTACCATTGTAAAACTTAATGGAAGAATAGTTTCCTGGACATTTCAAGAAGAAAAATTCTAGTGCTGAATGGTGGCTTCTCTGTTGCTGCATGTTTTTTTCAGCAACTATTTCATATGAGGGTAGTCCTAGTCATTGCTTTAAAGTAACTTCTTTTTTGGTGTAGCTTCAGTACTTGTTTGTTCCTTAGAGTAGCTTTTGAGGAAATGAAACATGGTTGTACTGCTTACCCCAGCCTCTTCATCTACAAGTTCTGCTTAGTCAAAATTAAATGACTAATTAGTGTAGAGCTGCTTAACATGCATCCCTTTGTTTCTCTCTAAAGTGATGGTAAACACTTTATATTTTATGTACCTTATAATTAATGGTGTTCCTTACCTATAAAGCCCATGTTGAATAAGGTGAATTAATTAACTTTTCTTTCTAGTGCTAGATTGGCCTCTCTCTTTGGTCTGGATCAAACAGTCTCAAGCCATGGAAATGAATTCTTCCAGTACACTGCACCAAAGCAGCCTAAGAAGGGTCAAACAGCAGCTGGTAAGTAACTGGGCTTGAGCATGGGGAAAAAACTTAACAGCATGTGTCTTGCTGGGAGAATGAGGGCCTTTGTGAAGAACAGCAGCGCAAATAATTCACTTAGCTTTTCTTTAATTATATTCTCTTCCTTTAGTCCCCTCTCTGCACCTGGTTACTCTAGAGGCCTTTAGTGACTTTGGAATATCACTCTTTGTGTTTTCACTCTCTTCTGGAGTTATTTTTTCCTTGGGGGAAGGAATGTGTCGTGGCATTGTCACTGGCCAGCAAATGTGGCAGTTCTGTATCACTGACAGGTATTTCTGCTTTTTATTCTTCAGCAGGTCAGGCAGCCCAGAAGGCTCCTGTGGCCCCAGCAGCTTCAGGAGCACCATCAGTGTTCATGGCCACCGCGGTTCATGCTTATCGATAGTAAGTGCAGTGGTGGTTTTCTGCATGACCTTTTAGAATCTGTGTGTCCGAGAGATTAAGACCTAGTCACAGAGGGCAGATATTTTTTGATGAGTGGGGAGACCATTGGTTTATAGACATGTCTGCATGGTGGAAATGCTGCAAGTCAATGCAAGTTTCTGCTCAAAAAAAGTTTCAGTTATTGTGCTGCAGTTCAGGGTTATGCAGTTATCAAATAAATAGCAAGTTCTGGATTTGGCCATTACAGGGAATTGCGTCCTGGGGTGCTGGCCTGACATTAGCCCTGTTTCCAGGCAGCTGTCAGATGCTTATGTCTCATACATTCCCTTGTGGAGAACTGAGGCATGGGCATAGAGTGACAGCAGTAAAATTCTCCGTCCATTTGACACCACCATCATGTAAAAACTCATTTGCCCTGGATCTGTGGAAGAGAGCAGTTTTCAACTCAAACTCTATAATGTACAGTCCTGTAATCTGTGGGCAAGCAAGAAAGTTGTAGTGTCTTTAAGCTAAGAAAGACTGCCTAACAGTTTAGGCATGAGGAAAAGGACCTGAACTCTAAAGAAGAAAAGATCAGCAACAGTAGAGAGAAATCTGAGGCAGGGGTTGTTCTGCAGCTGAATATCTCGCTTGTCTTCCAGTACAAATGGGCAGTACTTGAAGCAAGGCAAGTATGGAGCAGCTGTAGTGGGAAACCATGCTACTAAAGAGGTGAGAAACACTTCACTTTAACATTTTCATGCTGAAAGTGCACTGGTATGAGGCAGTGTTTCTCTGAGCTCACCAGAATGTCTTTGCTTTTGATGTTGGAGTTCTTAGTTCCACTGCTGCTTATGCCTTCCTGCCCTCCTGGGTTTACTTATGGCTTAGCCATGTAGCTTGGTGACATCTTTCTTTTCTGCAATCCATGAGTTTGTAAGATCTCTTACAATTTGTGCCTGAAATATTTTGCAATGTTTCAGGCACTGCACCTCTTTTTTAATGTTTCTGGAAGTGATTTTGATGTTTAGTCAGAATGTCTTTGGACAACCGGATCACAAGTCTGTACATGTGGAAATCAATATAAAGCAAAATTTTGTCCAGTAGTACAGTTTAAGTAAGTTGTTTAGTAAGTTTTGTTATTTTGGTATCAAAAATATCTCTCTTCCCAAATACTCATCTAAGAACACAGCACTGGGGTGCCCAGTAAATTGGTGTGTTTAAAAGATACTCTGATCTGTCCTTGGTGTTGGTATTTATGGTGTTCGTATCCCCCTGGTTCTTAGTTCTTGTTGTCTCACTAAGTTGCTTCTGCTTTGGCAAGAACAAAAAAAAAAGTAGTTTAGTAAACTAATTCCTGAGTCACTGATCAGTGTTCAGGTGTGGCATTCATGGGGGAGCTGGGAAGGATAGGGCTAGCAGAAGGAAGCTCACACAGCCTTTCTCAGGCTGCCTTTGTAATATCACAACCTGCACAGCTGGGAACAGTAGCAGATTACTCCCGGTTCACCACCTAGCTGTGTTGAGTGAAGAAGCCATTGCTATAGGTACATAAAGGAAAGCACTTTTCCTTACTAGATTGTGTCTAGTAGAGCCAAATATGTCAATATAATGTTATATCTGCATTGTTTAGTACTTGGAAAGCTCCCTCCAACTTACTATTACTCAATCTTTTAAATTGTTTTATGTCTGTATACCATGTATTATGAGTTTTATGTATTGAAGGGTTAATGCACCATCTTTTTACACAGTAGCTGTGAAAAATGTGGAAATAGTTAAAGCATCTTGCTTACTGCAAAATATGTAGTTTGAATTGCTCTATTCCTGTAGCTAAATAAAGCCTGTCTATTTTCAAGGGTTTTTAATAGATTACAAAATTGCGTTAAGTATTTTTGCTGTGAAAAATGCTGCGGCAAGGTGTATTTGGCAAATAAATACTGTAGCCTCAGGCTCACAATCTGATAAAGCACGTTAGAATTGAAGATATTTTGAGTTTCTGCTATTTGCTGTTCTTCCCTGCCCAATTCCTTGTGGAATCCAGTACAGGATCCTCCTTTACATCAGTCAGCAGCAACAGATCGCAACTGCAAGGATCCATCCAGGCTTCATATTCACGGTAAGACTCTGGATGAGAAAGCTTCCAATGATCTGTATTGTTCACAGCAAACAGGAGTTGACTCTGAAATGCTTTCTTAAATCTTAGATTATAGCCTTTGAGATCAAACATCTGACTGACACAGCAAGAGGTGTCACAGTGAGTAGGAGCGCTGTTCTGCTCCTCCTCCTAATGTGTATTGCACAAGAGACTGTGCAATACAGCACAGAGCACTTCATCAGTAGATTTCATAATGCAAGTTTGTACACTGTAGGAGGTATATTATTACCTCTGGATCACAGAGGAGATGTTTTGAGTTTTGCAGTCCTACAGTGGATAGAAACAACAAAATTCCTCTTGCGAATAATTTGTAGTTAAGTGACTGAGAGAATATGCCTGAACAAGCAGAAGGAAATGGCAGCAACAAAATGTTTTCTCTCAGAAATTTGACACTCAGCATTTTCCTGCTTATAAGAACAATTTGGCGCATTGTAAATCCTAAAATGGGATGTTTTCTGCCAGTTTTCAAAAATTGGTGTGTTGATTTGGTACTCTTAGCTTGTCATCAGGTGACATAAAATTTCTTGGTTTGATAAATAGATATTCTACTCTGAAATAGTAGAATTTTAGTCCAGATTTCTGACCAGGATGCTAGCTTGTGCTTTAGTTTTATAAGCACGTTTTGAAAGATTAATGGGTTATGTACTCAGCTGGTGATGACATGGATTTTTAGAAGTGAGGAAGGAGTAACACCTCCAATCGATTCTGGAAGTCTAAATGTAATCAATACTTACAAAAAGTAGATTACTTACACTTAAAAATCTCAGTATATATTATAGAACCTAGCTTCAAAGAAGCTTGTGAAAGCTTTCACCATCTTGTGAAAGCTGCAGCATCTATGAAGAACTTAATATTTGCTCAAGTTTTTGAGTTATAATAATTCTTCCACAATAATGAGCATGTAAATAAAAGCTAATCTGTGCATTCTGGACTTGGGTGGTAATACAGCAAGATTCTTCCTCTGCCTCTGCTTAATTTCAGTAGCTCTTATTTTAAGCTTCTTTTGGATGTGGATTTTTTTTTTATTTTAGTTGAATGCATCTTTCCATGTATAACATAGGACTGATTTCCTTTCCCACAGGTTCAACCCAACAATTACAGTACGTTCTATGATGATCAGAGACAAAACTGGTCCATCATGTTTGACTCAGAAAAGGCAGCAATGGATTTCAGTAAACAGGTAACTACTTAATCTGTGTGAGGTATGACTTGCTGGCCTGTTCAAAACAATAGGCAAATCAAGGTGTATCTCTGAGAGCACCTTATAGCTGAAAGATTGTAAGTCAGTCGTAGTTTTTCATTGAAGTTCTGCTTTGAGTATCTGCATGACTGTGATTGAGGCAAATCTGTGATGAGCCTGGCTGAGTTTTGTTCATTAGATACAGGCCTCTCTGAGGCAGGGAGCCTGTTACTTCTGATGGGATTTTTAATCAAGATTCTCAACTACCTTAAGACCAACAGTTCTGCAGAGCAGAAAGTATTCACTACTTGTATAGCTCAGCAAAATTCAGCACAAGGAAACATGGAACACCTCTTAAGTGCATCTGTAACCTGGGCTTGATCAGTACAGTAAGAAATGGATCAGATTTGTAATGAATCGTAGTGGAACTTCCACTCTGTTTTAATGGCCAGAGACATTGATAGGCTTTCCTTCTGCAGGTATGCATTGCCAAATGCAACAGCTCCCCAGTGCTTGATTCAGTCCTCTACCAGGATCTCCTTCTTGGAGAAGGGCAGGGAGTAGAAGGAGGAGACTCTCTGGAGATTGCCTATACGGGTTGGCTGTTCCAGAACAATGGGCTTGGACAGGTAAAAACATTTCTGCTACCTCCTAATATTAAGTGAGCGTGATAGTCCCTGGAAGGAACCTACCACATCTAGCATAGTATTGGTGCTGATGTTAAAGGTATTTTTTCAGTCACTGATGGCACCATAAGTGAGGTCACATGTGTTACCTGTAGAAGGGATTCCGTTACTGTTCAGGAGGAGGTGATTGAGATGCTTTTAACTTTCATAGGCACTCTCACACATTAATGAAAATGGTGAGAAGGGACAATGAAGCCTAGCTATGCTCCTTTGAAATGGCTTGGGGAAGTGGTAAGAAGGCCTTATCTGACACAAAGCACATCTCCAAATGTTAAAAGAATGAGATTGGTTTTACATCTATAGCTGTGTCCAATCCAGGTTGCTTATTAGCAAAATAAATGCTTTGATGTTTCAAAGCATTACTTTTAAAACACTTCTACTGGTTTTACTATTGGCAAAATTCATGGCAAAGGGTTTTGCATTTGCATCCATCTGCAGTTGAATCTTTTTGCTATAAAAAAGGGCTTTCTGTTTTTAATCTTTAGGGGATTTTTTTCTTTTTCTTGGCCTGCCTGGCATGCTTCTCTCTATGTACCAATGGTACATAGCAGAGCCTACTTCTAATCTCCTGAAAGACTTGTTCAACTGCATATGTCTTAGTTTAACATACAAAACTTCTAGACCATTGGTTGCTTCTTGATATAAGCCTGTTATGTAGTGTTTTACTTGGCCCATCCTGTCCTGACCATCAAGCTCAAAGCAGTTATAAAGTCTGAGTCTCCAGCTATTACTCACTTTAAGAAATTGCACTGTGCAATGGAATAGAAGGTCTAGCCATGCTCTGTCTTACATCTGTTGAGAAGTAATTTTGGAAGTAGCACATAAGAGATTCTAAGAGTTCATGGAATGTGTAAAGTAGCATTCAGAATCTTGAAACAGTTGGGAAATTAATGTATTTTGTGTTTTTGTTCAACTCTCTAGGTGTTTGACTCAAATGTTAACAAAGACAAGCTGTTGCGGCTAAAGCTGGGATCTGGGAAGGTCATCAAGGTAGAACCTCTGACACTTTAATAATTGAAGTCTCAGAGCTATGAATTACTGAAGATCTTCAGGATTCATATATGCTGTTTCTGTTACATGTTTTGTTTGATAGAAAACACTCTGCAACAGTGACTCACTCAAACTTTGTCGTCATAGTTTGCACAGTATAGCCAAGTCTCCTCAATGGCAGTGTTAGAAAGAAGTTGTCCTATTTGGTAAAAAGGAAGCTTCCCGTTTTCAAGAGCTGGGGCTTTTGGGTTTTTTGTCTTTGTTTTTGTGGAAGGCACTTAATCCATTACCTTGTTCTCAGGGTACCCTATCTCTAAAGGAAGATTTCAATTTGAGAACAACTTCAGATTCTAAAGGCTAAGGAGTATCAGGGAGTGCGAGAGGGAGATAGATTGGTGGAGCCGCACCCTACCATCCCTGGGGCCAAGGCAGCAGAGGGAGGCCCAACAAGGAGCAGAGGATCCCCTACCCTCTTGCCAGCAAGCAGAAGGAGGGGACCTAAGAGACTGGGGGGAATGGAAACGGGTCCCTGCCCAGGGCGGCAGGTGAATCCCCTCCTGGCCTCCCTCACCTTCCCAGTTGCCCTCACATAACAGACATGGGGCTCTGGAAGTTGAGGACCAGGCAAGTGGGGAGGGAGGTGAAGGTCCAGCCAGGGGGTTGCTGAGGGTGAGTCAGTCAGCCCCATGCATTACGACTGCCGCTGTTAAGAAAAAAAGGAGGGTAATTGTCGTAGGCGATTCCCTCCTGCGGGGAACTGAGGGCCCAATATGCTGTCCTGACCCATCCCACAGGGAAGTCTGCTGCTTCCCTGGGGCCCAGGTTAGGGACATTACTAAGAAACTTCCCGATCTGGTACGGCCCTCCAATTATTACCCGCTGCTGGTTGTACAGGTTGGCAGTGACGAGGTTGCGGAGAGAAGTCCAAAAGTGATCAAAAGGGACTTCAGGGCACTGGGGTGATTGGCTGCAGGATCAGGAGCACAGGTAGTGTTTTCCTCTATCCCATCAGTGGCAGGGAAGAATGCTGAATGGAACGGGAAACTCACCTGAGCGGTT